AGGTGTAGACACTGCCCCCCCACCCCAGGGCCTTCTTAGGTCCTCAGCTCTGGATCACAGTGGCAGGAGAGGGGGAAGAAATGTTATAGAGAGGTGGGGGCTGAGGGAGGCTGGGGAGAGGAGGGGTCCGTGGCCCTTCTTTTCACCTTTCTCTTTAGGGTGCCCACATAATGCCCACCCCCTTTCTCACACCCAATCCCCTTTTTTTAAATTAATTTTTCCTTTGTCTTAAGGACACCCTAGCACTCCCACCGTCAAGAATCCCAAATGCAAAGCCTATGTCAAGTATAGAATCTAAACCCAAATTTTATTTTTATGAAGATGACTGCCCATTCTCTATTTTCTGAACTGCTATTAGGACAAAAAAAGAAGAATAAAAATAAGAAGAAGAAGAAGAAGAGAAAGAAAGAAAGAAAGAAAGAAAGAAAGAAAGAAAGAAAGAAAGAAAGAAAGAGAAAAAAGAAAGAAGAGAAAACAGAAAAAAGGAAAAAAAGAATGAAGTCAAAAGTAAGGTGGGACTGATTGTAACAATTTTCTAACCATTCAGTCATTCATTTATTTATCTTTAAGCCTATAAAGGTGTTTCCCCCTAAAGGCAGACAGTGAATATTTTATTTTAATCTTGTAGTTTCCATCGAGACAGACCTTTAACCCTTCATTCTCCAGCTCTGCCCGAGTCCCCCGTGCCAGGCGATCCTCCGCACGAGGGCTGGGACTGTAAGTCTCCCTCTTGGAGCTGTTTGTTGACCACATTCACGTTCAGCGCCCTGGAGCTAAAAGCACTTTACACCATAAAATAAAAGCACTGTCTTTTTTTCTAAAAGGTTACGTCTGGAGGCCACGCGGCTCATACTTCATACCGAAAACTACTGAAAGGACTATGAAATCCTCTATGATTTACACTCTCTCACTGCATTAGGGTATAGATCTACTCGACTCTAAAAATACGGTGGGTTTCTAACCGACGTGAATATATGTGCATTATTTCAGAAAGTCTGTTAGAAAACTTGTCAACACATTATAAAGCATAAACCAGGACTTGGCTATTAAGTACGGAGATCAGAGGCAGAATATATACTGCAGGAAGTCCTGGGGAGTCTCCTCCGCGGGCAAGATAAAAAGGGGGAGGAGGGGAGGGGAGGGGTCGTCTGTTGGCCTGGAGTTTACATTCAATGTCGTCACCAAAGGTTTGGGAAAGAGCCCACGGAGCGTAATTAGCAAAGCTTCCACAGCTCCAAATTAAGTTAACTGAACGGCCAGAAAATAATTTTAACGTTGTCATAATTTATTACTTTCTAAAAGCCACTTTGGGAAAGGTAAATATACTTATTGTGTATCCAAGTGTGCGCGTTTAAGGTGACCTTTCACCCCTCTACAAAAGCACCTGCATCATTAATCAGTACTTATGTAATATTTTTAAACCTTTTAAAACAACACATTTTTCTTTCTTTAAACACACGTACAACCTTCCCCTCCCCCCACTTTTGAGCGCTTTAGCGAGCATCCAGCAGGAATGGGAGGGGGCGTCACTCTTAGGGGCGAGCACGAGGGACCGGCAGTGGGGGTCTGCGACGAGGAGGGATCAGATGCCAATACACAGCCCAGGTTTTCTGGACTGGGTGAAATCAGGCTGGGGGAGGGGCGAGAGCGGAGGGCAGTTCCTATTTCACTCTGGGCATTTTATGGTGGTGAAATTAAATATATGTTAATGGTGGAAACGTCGCTGCTTACTTCTCCATTGGCACCCAGGGAAAGCAGCTGCAAAACTGGGTTTTTAATGTATGTTTTAAGATGTGGTTTCAGAAGGAACCCCCTGGAATCTGAAACAAGTGTAATAACATAGCAGACCTACTTGTAACTAAGTGCTTAATTTCCTATGATTTTTTTTAAAAGAAAATCAATAAAATGTTGCCAGTTATTTATTGGAAATAACCACAGATAGCGGCCCTGATAGGGTGCCGGTTTTAGAGAGCACACAATTGTGTAATGAATTGTAATTCAGAAGACTGTTAAATGTGAACCACAGAACCTTTCAGAGGTAATAAAGTCATTACTTTTTACACTACAGCCAACCCTGAAAAGCTTTATACACACCATTATATATAAATCATACATATATATTTCCACAACACACATTCGCCCATGTATATGCCTTCCCTATATATGGACTTTTATGGATGGATGGGGGAAATACTTAAATTTGAAAAACTCGGTTCCGAAAGAATCTGATTCACCATTGTTACCTGAAGAGGCTGTTACTTTATTTATTTTTCAAAAACCTCCCAGTTGCACTTTATTCTTTCCTCTCCTCACCTTCCCTCCAACCATTCTTCTCCACGCAGCCCCCCTCCCGTGCAATGACACTCTTTTGGTCGTTCTAAAGCTAGTTTAAATGGACGACGACGAAGAACAAGAAGGGGAGGAGGAGGAAGGACAAGAAGAAGAGGAAGAAGAAGAAGAAAAAAGACAGTGGGAGATGCCGACCTGCTCTGAAGAACTCATGAAAAAGGGGAAATGGTGTAACGCACACACTACAGAGCTTTACTGCAAGTGACTCTTCCTGCTTCTTAAACAGGATTTGAGTGCCCCCCCAAACTGGAGAGAAACAATAACAACAAAACACATTTACACAAACCCAGTTCAGCACACATCTCTCCTAATGTTGAGCATCAAAAACCTCTCTTTCTTCCTTAGTGGGGCCCGAAGCTTCGCGGAGCCAGGCACGCCAGTCATTTTCTAATAGGTTTGAAACTTTACTAAGACAACACGAGAATAAACAGCCGCTTGCCGGCACCGCAGGGAGGTGGGTGTGCGCTTGCAAGCCAGGGGCTTCAGCTTAAAGCAATAAAGCCCCCAGCCGGGTGGGTGAATTTACGGAAACGACGTCCTTTAGACTGAGGAGGGGGAAAGAGAAGACGCGAGGGGTTGTGGAGCCGCTTGGAGGAGAGGGAAGGAAGGCTCCTCGTTCTGCAGACACACACTCACACACGTCCACCTGCAGCTCGGAGTCTCGCGGACAGCAGCGACCCGCCTCCACCCTGCACCCTCCGCGTCTCCTTTAGACTTGCGTCCGTTTGCCTCCCCCACCCCCCGCCCTTCCTGATTTGGAATCGCAGCGCGGTCTAGGCGGCGGCGGCTGAGGCTACAGGGTGGCGCAGGCAGGCGGGGAGGCTGGGAGGCGGGAGACGCCGGGGGACTTTGCAGACACGTTTCTGAATAAACTTTCCAATCGCAGGGGGTGCTGTTGCTGTACATTTTACGTAAAACTGAAAGTATCCCACGCCAGAGTGAAGCCCGCTTTTTGACAGCGGCAGCACGCGCGCGCGCGCGCGGGTGTGTGTGTGTGTGTGTGTGTGTGCGCGCGCGCGCGCGAGCGCGTGTGTGCATTAAAGAGACAGGGGTTTATTTCCAACAGGTCTTCTTTAATTTCCCGGGAACGTCTGTAGAAAGGCCGGAGGGGCCTGCAGGCTCCAGGGTGTGCGCCTTGGCTCTGGGCGTCTGAGCAGCACGGCGTTGACCCAGGGCGGTCACCCCACCACCGTGGTCTCCCCGCCGCTCCTGAGAGCCAGTCGCTCTCTCTCCATTCCCCATTTTCTTTCCCCGGGTAACAGCACAGGCATAGTTGTGCCCTGCCTGTAAGAAACATTTTTCTTTCCATTCCTCTGTGCTTTAGCAGTTGCTCTTGAGTGGGAGGGGGTGTGTCCATCCCTGGGACCCGGCCCGAGGACCTCCCGCGGCGCCGGAGCACGTTCCCAGGAACTGGAACTCTCGGGACTACCCGTGCTTTGTCCTCTGGCCCGCGGCCGCTCGGTGAGGTGGACGTCTCGGCGCCTTCCTCGCCCCGGGCCGCGGCGCTCCCCTCTGGGGGCTGGAACGTGCCCCGAGTCTGGCTCCTCGTTCTTTAGTCCTTGTCCTTTCTATTTGCGACCCTTGGGAGCCTCGAGTCCGTGCTCCCAGTTTCATTCAGACCCAATCACTTGTCAGGGCGCTCAGATCCCAGCTTTCCCCCGGCCTCGCCCCCGGCTCGGCCTTGGGGGTGCCCTCCAGCCCGGGCCTGCGCCGCCTCTCTCGCCCTTGCGCCCTCTCTCCAGGCTGCCCAGGCACCTAGAGGCCCCGGAGCTGCCTTTCCGGACCCGCAACCCTCCAAACTTGGGCTGGACTCCGTTTTGCTGCGCGCTTCCTCCCGCCTTCCCTCGCCCGCTGCGGAGCTGTAACTTGGAGGCTCAGCTCTCAACTTCGGGTGATTTTTCTTTGCTATCCTCTCCTCAGGCAAAGTTTCCCGAGCGCAGCCCCGAGCTCAGGGCTTTTACTGCAGCCCTGGGCGTCCGCACACGGGGAGTGAGCGCGGCAGCCGCGCGGCGGTTAGGGGAAGTGGGTGTGCGCACAGAGGAGGGTGTCCGGGAGCAACTCTACCTGGCTTCCCTCCGCCCGCGCTTCCCGGGACCCAGGCTGCAGCCTCGCCGTACACTCTTGCCTTTTTTTTTTTAAGTAATCTTTCATTTTAGGGTCCGCGTCCGGGGGGGGAGCAGGGCGCACGTCTCGCTCCCCCCCCTGCTCCCCCCCAACCCCGCCGCCCCTTTCTTCTCTCCCGGCCACGCTGCCGCCACGGCGCTAGCTGCGGCCACTGGTGAGCCCGCGGCCCCAGCGCCCCCTCCCCTCCGCCCGCCCCTCCCCCGGGGGCCGCGTCTGGCGTCTGCGGAGCCCCCCGCCCCGCACCTCCCCCGCCCCGCACTGGCCATTGGCTTGTCCTGGTCTCTTTTTCATGTCCAGCCCCTGATGTGTGTCCATTGGTGTGAGCTTCCCCTTCCCTCCTCCCCTTCTCTCCTGCTCGCCCTGCCCATGTTTTGTGTGTCTCTGTCCATCCAGACTCCTGACGTTCAAGTTCGCAGGGACGTCACGTCCGCACTTGAACTTGCAGCTCAGGGGGGCTTTTGCCATTTTTTTCATCTCTCTCTCTCTCTCTCTCCCTCTATCTCTCTCCTCTCTCTCTCTCTCTCTCCTTTTTTTTTTTTTGCTTAAAAAAAAAAGCCATGACGGCTCTCCCACAATTCATCTTCCCTGCGCCATCTTTGTATTATTTCTAATTTATTTTGGATGTCAAAAGGCACTGATGAAGATATTTTCTCTGGAGTCTCCTTCTTTCTAACCCGGCTCTCCCGATGTGAACCGAGCCGTCGTCCGCCCGCCGCCGCCGCCGCCGCCGCCGCCGCCCGCCCCGCAGCCCACCATGTCTCGCCGCAAGCAAGGCAAACCCCAGCACTTAAGCAAACGGGAATTCTCGCGTAAGTAACCCAATAATAGTAATAATAATTATTAATAATCACGAGAGCGCGCAGGACGAGAAGTAAGAGCGAGGGGGAGAGAGGGGTGTGTGCATGCATTTTTTAATTTTTTCACGAGATGAACCTCCGAGAGTCGGGGTAAAAGAGCTTAAAGGGAGAAAAACAAACAAACAAACAAAAACCTCATCCTATCCCGAACCACTGCCGTACGTACACTTTTGGGATAGCACGCACCTTTTAATTTTTATTTAATTTACAAAAATTTGACTCCTCCTCTTTCATGCTTTCCGCTGCTTTATTTCGCTTTTCGAAAAGGAATGCAATGATTTCCCCTTCAATTTTGCAAAATAATGAACAATGCTATGGATGCGAACAACTCTCTTGCAAACCTAGAGGAGGGAGCTGGAGGGGAAAAGGGGGGTTGCTTCCACTCACCGAAGGAAGGAAAACGGGGCGGGAGGAGGGAGCCCAAGCCAAAAAAACAATTCCCTGGGAGAAAAGAGGTGAGACTGGCCCTCGGATAGCAGCGCGCTCACGGTCAAGTGTGCCATCAGGAGGAAAGTAGTCATCTCCACAATAGTGAGAAAGTGGGATTGTGGGAGGGGGCCCCCCGGCGCTCTGGAGTCTGCCGAGTGTGGAGAGGGGCCGCGGCGGCTGGGAGAGCTTGGCGACCGGGAAGGACGGGAGTCTCGGCCGGCGCTGCCGCCTTTTGTTCCGGCCCGAGGTGGGTGTTTGTCCCGCTGCCTTTTGTGCCGGCTCCTCGCGCTTGCCCTTCCGCGCCTCCGCCGCCGAAGTGCAGGAGCAAGGGCCCAGGGCGAGCGGGAGATGGAGGGAGGGCGCTCGGGCCGCAGCCGCCTGGGTTCCCGCTGCCCGCCCATCCCAGACAAACCTCAGTGGCGGCGAAAAGACGTGAAAAATAAAATAAAAATTAAAACAAAAATAAAACAAGGCAAGAGGATGTAAAATTTCTTGCGCCCAAACAGAAGCCAAACGCTCAGCCAGCCGTTTTCTGCAACGCTCTCCTCTGACTCCCCCACCCCCCCTTCAAAAATCTCAATCTCTATTAGAGGGGGAAAAATACAATTACCCCCTTCCCCAAAACCCCTTTGATTGCAAACTTAGAGCGCCGGCGGCGTGGAGAGGGAGCGAGGAACTCCCTCCTCTTACTATTTTTTGGAAGATTTTCAAAAAAAGTGGAAGTGGATTTTGATTGGGAAAAATCTCGTGTCTGAATGTTTACAAGCACCGCGTGTGCGGGAGCCTCCTGCCAACAAACAGACAGAGGACCGAGCGCCGCGCGGCAGCCCGGGAGCGGGCGGCGGCGGCGGTCGGGCCTCGCCCGGGCCTCGCCGGGCCTCGCCGCGCCCCCGCCCTGCTCGAGATCGCCCACCCCGCGCCAGCCGTCTGCCCGCCCGCACAGCGGCAGGCCGAGCGGCTACTCCGCGCTAGCCGGGTCCACAGTGCACTCTCGCCCCCAGCACAATGCCTAGACCTTCTCCCAGCCCACCAGACTGCGAAATCGGCTGGGGAGAAACTCAGCTTTGCGAAGCATTTTTATTTTTCAAAGCAATTGAAAAAGCGCGTCTGCCGCCCCCTCCCCCCGCCCCCGGACGTTCTTGTCCACAGCTCCGGACCGCGGGGAGGTCACCACGTGCTTTCCTTGCCCCCCTCCCACTGGGTCTGGCCACTAGCCCCCGCCTCCCGAGCGCTGCCAGGCCAGGTGGGGGGGGTGAGATGGGGGGGTGGGGAGGTGGGCAGAGTAGTATGTGCGAGTGTGTGTTTGGGGAGTGCTGGATCCCGGTACTCCGTGCACCCCACCCTTGAGTTCCTACCCTCTAACCCAGGCCTGTCTTGGTCAGCGTTGAGGGGATGGCGGTGGTCCTTTTGAGTCTTTATGGAGTGGCGGGTGGGTTACTGGGTCCTGGCTAACAGAGTGCGTCTGGAAAGGCGGGCGGTGGGCACTTAGGAAAGTTTGGCAGCGGGAGAAAGAAAGGCGTGAGAGGGCCCACATCCCTTCCCCTCCTCCTTCGTGACCCTTATTTTAATTTCTGATGCAATTTAAAAACACCACCTATACCCAATTTTGTATTTATTAAAGGGTTGGGGGGTGCGCATAGGGAGTTGAATTTTTCACTAGGCCCTGGAACTTGTCACACACTTCGGAAGCTCCCCCGCCCCGGCACGTTGCGGGGCCCTCCCTCTCCCCACCCCCGCGCATCCCTCCCTCGTCGCTCTCCCCCGCCCCCCACTCCCCAGGCCGCGCCGGATGCGGAGCAGACGCGGCGCGCGGCGGTGTGAAGTTACAGCCCGGCCAGGTACCGGCGGGAAGGAAGGGCAGTGTTCGCAGGACTCGGGAAAGCCCGGCCCTTCTTCGGAAGGATGCACTGGGGGCTCAAAGGACCGACTGAGGCGTGCAGTCCGGGCTGCTCCCCTGTCCCCCACCCACCCGCGGGTCCATCTCGGGACCCTCCAGGCTGGGTGGGTTTAGCCGGCCTCTAGCCTTGTCTCAGTGCGGTCTTTGGGTTAAGGGACTAGTATGGAGGGGGTGCGGGGGCCGCTTCTTTCTCATTCTCTGGGTGCGCAGAGGGGGCGGGAGCCATTCCGGTCTTCAAGACCCCCCCTCCCCCCCAATCCTCCGCTTCTTGGGCTGACTGAGCCATTCGGTCGCTAGGAGGCAGAACAAGATCAAGAAAGCTCAGCGAACTTGAACCTGTACCAGAGCCTCCCCCACTCCCTGCTCTGCGTTTCTCGGCCCGGGAGGGACGAGCTTTGCGAGGGTGGGGGTGGGGGAAACGGACGGTTAGGCAGAATTCCCTTTCTCCCCCCATCACCCCTTATGTCTTTGTTCTTCATTTTGACTTTAAAAATGCCCCTGGCCAGGGCTGCGGAGAAGCGCTCGGGAGCGCGGTGGACAACCGGGTGCGCCGGGCGCTGAGTGGGGTGCAGTTTTCGCTTTCTTTCGGGGCGGGCGTTTTTGGTAGGGGGGAAAAGGGGAGTACGCACTTTCAGTTTTCGAAGCAAGGCCAAAGGGCGGTATCCAGCAAGTTTGCACTTAGTCTCCCGGTTCACTTCTACCCCACACCCCCGCGCAAAGCACGGACAACGGCGGCTACGGTGGGCTTGCACGGCGGCTCTGCAGCCCGACCTCTGGCTCCCCCGCCTCCTGCAGCTCTCGCCTCGGAGCCCGAAATCACAACAATAGTAATAGTTATCATCATAACGATGCGGGCTAGCAGCATCATTAATAATGAATAACCGCAGCAGCCGCCGCCGCCGCGCTGCGCACACTCGTGCCCGGAATTGCGGGAGAAATGCATTTGCAGAGATTCCCCCAAAGTAAAAAGTGTAAGCCTGGGGACCCAGAATGAATTTCGGGGCCCGCGCTTGAGGTGTGTGTGTGGTGATACCGAGACTGCACCAGGTTAACCAGCCGAGTTTTCCAAGCCTCACTTCCCATTTCTCCAACTGGCGGGGCCAGGGAACGGTGGTCACCCTGAGGCCGGGCTGGACGGCGGTGGAGGCGGCAGTAGGGGCCCCTGGCTGCCCGTCGCCTCCCGGCCTGGCCCGGGCCCCACGGCCCGGCAGCCGCCGCTGCACGTGTTCGCAGCCAGCGCGGTCGGAGGCTGCAGCCAGCAAGCTGCTTGCTTTGTGCCTCAGAGTCCCGGCGCCCAACTTCACTTTCGGCAAAGCCCGCCCCCGCCGGGCCCCCTGTCCCGGGCCTGTCGCCCTAGCCTTCGCTTTTGTTTCTTTGCTTTTCCTCTCCGCATTTCAGACTTGGTGTGCTTCCTTACCCTGTTAAGACAATCAAAAGGAAGGACTTGGAAAGCAAACTTGAAGGCATAGCTCCTTTTCCCCTCCCCCTCCCCCAGCAGCCCTCGTTTCCCTCGCTCCTTCCCTACATTTCTTCTAAAGCTTTTTTTTTTTTCTTTAAATTTATTCCTTTGCAACTGCAGAGAGGAAGGAGATCTCAGTCAGCCGCTGGGGCATTGAGACGTTCCAGTCTGTTTTGCTGTTTCAACGCAGAAGCATTTTATTTCCTATTTCTTTCTCCTCTTGTAGAGAATTCGCGGCTAATTATTATGATTATTTGCCCACTCCCTTCCACTTCAATCCTGGACTCCCCGCTTTGTAGCGGGAGGTTTAGGCCAGAGCTTAGAAAGGATGGTATTGTGGGGGCGAAAGAGGATGGAGTTGAATTGAGGGAGGGGGTAAAATGGCTGAGGTTAGGAATGTTTTTAGGGAAAGAGGAATTTGCATTAAAATACAGAGAAATTATCAGATGCCCAGAAAGGAAATGTTGATTACCACTGAGAAAAGATGTCAATGCAAATCAGTAGACTACACCAAGAGAATGGTATTTTCATATTTTCTTTGTGCCTCACTTCATCTTATTTTTAATAATATAGCAGCAATAATAAGAACACGTTTTGGTATTTCTCTGAACATTACTAGCCAAATGTTTTGCAAGAAGCCCGATGTTAGACATATTTCATACATTAGGATATAATTCTTGTTAATTAGCAATAATTTACGTTAAGAGCATAGAAAATGTTGAGGTTACAGGTTTTATATCTGTACATTTGATCATCTTGTTATTTTCAAGAACTTTGCCTCCTATAAAATTAATTAGGTGAAATGTGGAGGTGTAATCAGCAACCTCTGAATTACCACTTCATTTCCTGGTTTTGATTGTAAATCAGTTCAGTCACTACATTTAGAAGACTTTAACCAAGTCTGTTTGCACCGCATTACCTTTAACTATTTGATACCTAGGAGAATATTTCCTTTTGCTCCTAAATAATATTTCCACTTTCAGAAATATGTCAGGCCTTGGGGATAAAAAAAAAAAAGAATCTTAATGGTGGAGTTTAAAAAATGTTTTTTTTTTTTTTTTTTTTGCAAAGGTTCTACGTAGTACTAACTTTAATAAAGCAAAGAGTCTTTCTTTAATCTCTGAACCTCAGAACTTGTAGTTAATGCTCAACAACAACAACAAAAAGCCACATTTGTCAATGTGTCCTTAAAAATCCTTAATTCAAATATCAGTGATCTTGGAGATGACTTCCCTATTCGGTTCCTCACTTGGTCAAAATGAAAGCAAATATAGGAGAAAAATGACATAGAGGCATAATGCAAAAGCACTTCCGTTTATCTCCTTTTATTTAAAAAGCGTGCATGTGTATTCTGTATTTATCTTTTGGTCAGTATGTTGGGCAAAGAAACATAAGTGCTTACCTTGCTGCCTTTATTAGTGGGAATATAACCTTCATATTCCTGTGGTGACCTTATGTTAAATTAGGAGGAGTACCAGGGGCTAGAAATTATGACATGTCCTACTTGAGCACAGGTGCAGCTAGGCAGGGCTCTCTCAATATTATTTCACCCAGCACATCTGGGAGTTACTCCAGATCTTCCCCCTCAATATTCAGCCTGGGTAGGGTTGAAATAAATTTAACCTGAGTTCACTGGATTTTTGCACTTTATCAAAATCGGTTCCAATATTCTACACTCAAATTAAAATCTATTTTTTGATTCTCTGTGGCTTTAAGTTCATTAAATGTGAAATTGGCAGCTTGCTAAAGAAGGTCAGACTGATTAACTGTTTAAGACTTGTACATTTTCTGCTTCAGTTTTATTAACTGGCAGCATCCTGGATGTGTTTTGTATTTTGTGATTTTTTTTGGTAGAGTAAGCATACGGTTTCAGAAGCAGAGACTTAACCAACTCTCTTTTCCCCTTTGGAAGGTTAAAAAATGATAGAAGCTGTTCAAATGAGATGCTGGAGTATTTTGGTGCAAAGTTAAAAAAAAAGGAAACAGGAATGAAAGACATATCTACCTTGTTATACCATCCGCTGGTGATTATGTGTGTAGAAATAGTCCCATAATGAAGCGTTTTGGAGCTCATTCAGAAAATTAGTCAACTTTGACAACATTAGGCGAAGTATTTCAAGTCTAAAGAAAGGACTTCTCAGCCTTGTTCTGAAATGTGGCGTTTGCTTGACCATTCTGATTTTTATGTGATGGAGGCCACCAAGTGCAAACATGTTTAGAATATTTTAGGCATTCCTTTCTTCAGAATGAAAAAATGACTAATTGGCTTATTTTCTTAAGTACTCAAAAGTATCCCATTTAGCTAATGTGTCTGAGAAGAATTGTCAGTGAATTTGGTATTTCTTTGATTTTATGGCAGTGCTGAGAGATCAGAAAGGTTTTTGGCAGTATGAATTATGCTGCGTTATGATTATTATTTAGATCCGTTTCACAGGTGAATGCAGTCGTTTTCTTATTATGACGATGTAAATGTGGCACATTTTCTGTGTGATATAGTAGCTTTCTAATTTATGAAGCTATGTCTCTGTATACTTAGGAGTATATACATTCACGCACAAAGGGTGTGTGTGTTTATTCACCTCTCTTTTATTCTTTGGCACAATGGACAACTTAGTCTATAGGAAAAAAGAAACAAATTTGGTTTCAGTACATGTTTTTACCAGTTTGGGGGGTAGTTATTATTTAAGCTTTCTTTATATTCCCTGCGTTAGGATTTATTTAACAGTCAACATTGTTTCTAAACTCGCAAACCAAACACAATTTATAGTGTGTGTGTGTGTGTGTGTGTGTGTTTTCTCAGGAGTTGGGCAAGTCAGAGAGTTTTCTTTAAATATATGATGATTTGCCTCATTGATAAATTTGCTTTCTTGTTGATAATCTTCACATCCTTACATGTTTTAGGTGCTCATGTTTTCTGGGTATTATATGAAGGAGCCTAGAAACACTTTATATAATGTGGTGGGATGGGATGGGGTTGAGAATGTATTTCCCCCCTTTCTCTCTTCTCTGGCGCTCTAATAATTGTGCTTTTGTTTCTCCAACCACAGCCGAACCTCTTGAAGCCATTCTTACAGATGATGAACCAGACCACGGCCCTTTGGGAGCTCCAGAAGGGGACCATGACCTCCTCACGTGTGGGCAGTGCCAGATGAACTTCCCATTGGGGGACATTCTTATTTTTATCGAGCACAAACGGAAACAATGCAATGGCAGCCTCTGCTTAGAAAAAGCTGTGGATAAGCCACCTTCCCCTTCACCAATCGAGATGAAAAAAGCATCCAATCCTGTGGAGGTTGGCATCCAGGTCACGCCAGAGGATGACGATTGTTTATCAACGTCATCTAGAGGAATTTGCCCCAAACAGGAACACATAGCAGGTAAATGAGAAGCAAGGAGAAAAGCTGTTTGCATGTTTTCTTTTCATTTTCAGAGGTGCTGTAGCCAAGCACTAAGGAGTGGTGAAGTGCTTTCTGTATTTCTCCATGTGACTGTCCCTGACAGCCCTGTAATGTTTAAAATAATCATTCCTATTGCTTACATCCAGAACACAAAAAAATAAATATTTTCCACTTCACTGAGTCAGATGTAGGGTGCTACACACCTGATGCCCTCTCTCTGGATCTACTGATACTGAATTTCTTTTCTTTTTTTTCTCCCCTTTTTATTTTTAAGTGTTGAGCCTTACTCTACGTGGCCCAGTTTCCACCGTCCATTTCCAGTCATGGTGACGAGTCAGAGGCAAAAGTGGCCATACAGGCATTTGGTGGTTCGGCCGATGACCTCTTTGAGTCTGAATACCTGGTCAGACCTCCCTAGGGGTACAGTTAGTTCTCAAGGCTTCCATGAAGTAGGGTGGGCTGGCAGGATGTTTTGGAGTGGCTAGAAAGAGTTAACTGAGCTTCAGGGCTAGCCTTGGATCCATATTGGCTGTCAGCCCGTATGGGGCTGTAATTAAACACAGCCCCGTGGTGGGATGACACTGTGACCTTGACTTTAAGATGCCATTTTCGACTGGCCAGGCCAGAGTAGAGAGGGCAGTTGCTGAAGCGCACAGACATGCTTACTCGAAAAGTTTAAGGGCATGTTGGAAATTTCAAAAGGTTGGTTTGACAGGAACGGCTGCTCCCTGCAGCCTGCCTCCTCAGCTAAATGATAAATGCTTCTCTGTGCTCCCTCTTGTCTCTGATGTGGTTTTGACAGATGTATCTTGATTTTGTTTGTGGTTTACACAACCACATGTCACCCTTACAAATGTCCAGTCCAGACTTCCCCTGTTTCTGCTATAACACAACGTAAAAATTCTATTGGAAAAACACATACCCATATTCAACAGCTCTCCTTCTTTCAGTTAATTTTAGCAGAGAGGTAGCTAGGTGTGTGGGTTTCTCAGCAGCTCACGGGGAAAAGGAATTAGCGGGCTAACAGAGGGACTTAAATCCCTACTCTAAGTGATAAACAGCAGCCCTATATAGTGACCCTTAAAACGTGTTTTTGTGAAACAACAGTGATTTAGCACACAAGACAGAGTGAGTGCAGAGTCTGTCGTGACAAAAATACCAAGGCTGTTGGTGGATCCCTTTCTTCTGTTTACCCCTGCCCCCTTCCCTAAAAGGCAGAAGGTTTGTTCAGTTTTAGGAAAGAGTGCATATAATCAATTGATTCACTGAAACTTGTCTTTCTGACCTAGTTTGACCATAGAGTTGAACTGTAGTAGGTCAGTGGTCCAGAGGGGATTAAATGTCGTATTATTTCTCCTTTTCCCCTCTGGAATTTGATCATTAAAATGAAGTGTGGCATTTTCTTTCTTTTTCTTTTTTATTTTAATGTTTCCTGCAATAACACTGAGATACTTTTCATTTAGTGAAACAAGAAATCTGTACCAGAGGAGCTGCATTTACAAAATATTTTTCTAGACTCCACCACATTTAGCTTAAGTGACATGTAGGTTAAGATTTTATACCCTCACTCCCCCCACCCCCCCAGTAGGATATGGCAATGACCATTTCCATGTGCTGTCTTGTGACTGGAAGGAAAACGTAAGGCATGATTAATGAAGCAAGAGCCGGCAGAAGGGGATTTGTCGACTTCGGAGATCCAAAGCCTTTCTAAATCACCAAATATGGAGTAACACTTGCGTGATGTAACATCATATTTACATATCGAGCTGCTCGTTTAAAAGACAAAACACAGTGTCTGTCAAGCAGGAATTAAAACCACACTTCTTACTGAGGTCCCAAATAGGTTATTCACTCTCAGATTAACCAGCTCCAAAATTCTGTGCTTCTGTACTTAGAAGAGGAATCTAAAAGCTGGGGGGAAGGCACTGTAGTGAAAGCTTTTTACTGTGATAGTTGTGAATCTACATAAGGAAAGAAAAGATATTTTCTTTAATTTCTGGTTGTCATAAAGGTTTTTTTTTTTCTTAAAACCTGGTACAATAGCAGAGCCCAGAGAAGCACCCCGCCCTGCCAAAAACAAAAACAAACACAAACACAAAAGAAAGCAAAAAGAAAAGAAAGCAAATTTAAAATACGTTTGAGTGCTAATACTAAATAATTTCACTGAGATGAAAAGCAGTGTAAGGTATCTAAGATATTCAATGGGTGCACCAGCGCTGCAACCCAGGTGAGGTAAACCTTTCATGCACAAATAATTACAAAGTCTTGATTCCTTTCATTGTGTTTAATCACCTGTTCCCACCCTGGAATTGGCTGAACATAAATAGCGTGGTCACATCTCAAAGCGAGATGTCAGTAACTAGAATCACAACTTCTCATAATTCACAGTAATGAATTAAGAGTTTCCTATGGTGAAATTAACATTCTGCCACTGCACATAAATTAAGATGCCCTGGCCCTCAGGTGCCTCTGAACGGAAGTTCTGGAAGACGGCTGTGCACAACTAGCCCATTTCTCTCCAGCCCACGTCTTCCCAGTTCCAAGTCTGCTTTTCTTTTTATGGTGAGGAAGGAAACAAGAAGAATAATCATTCAGTAGATATTTGAATTGTGTCACAAAAAGAAAGGAGAAGCAATACTCCATATTAGGAGAGAGATCTATTGATGAATCTCTAGAAGAATATGTTTGGCAACCACATAAAAGGTAGTCATTTAAGTGCGCTGTGTAGGATAGGCTTTATTAAAGTGATGTAAGTTGGATTTGAGCTCAGTGTGCTCTGTGCCATTTTATAGGCAGGAAGCAGGAATAAAACAATGACAGATTTTCCTGAGATAAATAAAGCTTAGAATTTTGGGGCTTTCAGATAGGAGAATAAAGTAGAGTTCTTTAAATCCTTAGTAAAGTGATATGCATTTTGACTGTACACAGGCTTCTCCAAGATCAGTATTCTTTTTTTTTTTTAGGAAAGGATGATTTTTACCTGGCAAATAGATGGGTCTGTGCTCCAGCACTTCACCCATGTACGTCTGTTAACACATTGACGTTAATCAGTTTGGTTTTTCATTTCATTCAAAATTAAAAATATTGCGTGACTGTGATCCATTGAGACCATTGAAATAGTATTCATTTAACTGGAAATGAGCAGGTTATATTGCGTGGGGTCCAGTGCATGTATTTGTGTTTCAGATATTCACCACGAGGTATGAGCAGCCTGTGTGTGACTGGCAGTCAGGGCTTTTAATAGGGGTGTTGCTGTGTTTTCTAGTCTCCTATTTTATGATGGGGGAAATACTCATCAAAGACTAGTGAATGGGAAACTGCTGTTCACTTATAGAAAAGGCCAAAAATATAATCCCACAGTGTCAGATTTGAGGTTTTGGCTTCTTAAACACGAAATCTTCAAATTAGGGTTGGGCTGTCATGAAGTTAGCTTTTTAAGAGAATGGGAGAAAATATGACCAGTGCTATAAAATGTAGTCAAGTCTACTGCCATTGATAAATATTATTTCTTTCTCCTTAAAATTGTGAACATAGGCCTTTATATCAGATATTTCAAAATATTTGCTTAGGCAATATACCTCATCACTGGATAAAAATATGTAAGACAGTTACTCTAATGGGAGGGAGAAATACTAATTCAAAACAGAAATACATCAGCATGTTACTTAAAGGTAAATCAAGTATAACATGCTTTTCAGAATCTAGAAAATCAACTTGCCTTTTCCTTTTGTACCCATTCTAATTCTCTAGCTCAGACTCGATTTGGGATGTATTTGTATACTTCATGGTGTAACTGTAAATGAGACTATAAATTGTAGTGTCCTAGTATGACTACTTATTTTTAATTTCTCTTTATTCAAGTGATTCTGAACAAAAACCACTGACTTCTGAAGTGAATTTTTAGCATGGCAGCTGAAAAAGAAAACAACAAACAAACAAAAAAAACCCCAATGTACTGGTGAACATTTTACTTACCTTCCGAATCCAGAGAATAGAGAATATTGTTTCCTTATATATATCTAGGATTTTCATTGGGAGCCTGTGTTTGTGAGGCCACTACCCAAAGACTCATGTTCGTGAGTCTGGGAGTCCTATATACAAGCTGTATTTGTAAATAAGACCGAGAAAGGTTGTGAACTGGCAGCTTGGATGTTTTGTCAAAGTACAATGTCAGAGAAACTCTCTCTAAGACAAATTGTAAATAGAACTGTCACAGTGATTGCATGATTGAGCCACAGAAGTGTCTTACAATTGTTGGCATTGTCAGAGGACTTTTGAAAGCTTAATTAAACACAGTGGCCCGCATGGCTGCTAAATTTACTTCGGAAAGCCAAAAAGGAAAAAAAAATTTTTTTAAATGTGGAAGATCCCAAAGATCCCAAAGTTCTTCAGACACTACCCTTTCAGTGACACAGAAAAGAGGCATTGTGCATTTTCCTAGTTGTCTTTTATAAATAATAGTTTTGAGAATAGGGCCACGTGATATGAAGATCATCCTGTGTGTGATGTGGAGATTGTGTTAGTTTTTCTGTCTCCTGCTGTTACAGACAGTTAATGTAAAAATGGCCTTTTATTGGAAACACAAATATGTATTCACTTCAAGAACAGGAGCAGAGGGGGAAAGTTTCCCTCCCATTCTCTGTGTTCATTTTGTGAAAGCTTAAAAAAACAGTGCTGTAATTTCTTAAATCACCCCATTCCTTGTGTTGCAAGTTGTGCCTTTTACTTTAAAGGGTCTGAAATCTGTTTTGCACACCTTTCTCCGAGTGAATGTGGCATTTAATTGTGGAGCTGCCCATAGGCTGGAAAATGCAACTGGGTGTAGAAACGTGCAGGCAATGTCAGGACAGCGAAACTTAAGCTCAGGGAAGAGGAGAGTTGGATGCATATTAATGGCACATTTTCGAGTCCTGGAAAATCATTAATTTCACACCATAGCCTCAATGTAGTTTGGCTAATGTGGGAGGACTAAATTGGAG